ACTTTGACAATTACACCAAACTCATGCACTAATGGAGCATTTGCCAGATGTCAAAATACTCAGACTAAAGTCTATAGTCCAAGAGGGATATGCATCTGCTAGAACTGGGCTTCCGATCACACTAGATGTGGCGGACACAGCAGCTCATTCCACCGCCACCACGATAGTCATGAGGAGGGCCTTGTGGTTACAAATTGCTGGAGTCCCATGGGAACTGCAGACTGAAGTGGAGAACCTCCTGTTCGACAGCCAAAAACTTTGCAGAGAAGACGGAGGAGGACCACTCTTCATACCCTTGGGATGTATATGGCATATGTGTTCATGTTTTGATATGAAAGCAACACAAACCCATTATTCATTATCATCAGTTACAGTGTACATAATTCTGAACATGGTTTTGTATTGGTTTGTAACTGTGACAGTATCAGATTAACAAAAGTATCTGGGAGGATTTTTTTTAAATAAACATTTAGAAAGTTCTGTGAATGTATAATGTATATTGGTAATTGAAATTAGTAGTAATTTTTATGTGGAAGTATCAGTTAGGGATGTAAGTGAGTAGTCGAGTTGAGTACTTGATTACTCGCTTCCTCACTTGCTAAGTAGTCCCTGTTTGTGGTAGCCCAGGCTGGCTGCGGGCAGAGGTGGCTGCGAGGCGGAATTGGCTAGTAAGCTCACCCTCAGCACCTCTGATACAGAGGCAAGTAGGGAAGTGAGTAGTCGAGTACTCGACTCAACTACTCGCTTATATCCCTAGCTTGCACTGGCTCTGGGAGCCACCTACACTGCAGCTCTGCATTTTAAATGTAATAAGAGCCCAGCAGCTCTTACTACATTTAAAATGCAGAGCCGCAGTGGTCCCACAGCCGGTGTGAGCTGTGACTGCTAAATCCAGGCTCGCCTCAGCTCCGGGAGCTACCCATGCTGTGGCTCTGCAGAGCGCCTCCCCTAATTGATTAATCGTGTAGTCAATACAAATTGTATTGACTACATAATTAGCCAGATACCCACTCCTTAACATTCCTAGTATCACTGTGGTATTTTGGTATGTATTTATGGTCAGAGTTCAGTTTTTTCATCAGAATGAAGAAGACACCTGTGCTGGATGGAAAGTATTTGAGTGGAGTTGAGGTATTGAATGAGTTTTTACAGTTTGCATTTGAGGATGATACAGACTAGCAATCTTAACTCAAAGTTTAAAACTGGAATTTCCTAGTTTTTAAAATGTGTCAATAGTATGCGTAGATATGTCATAGCTATTAATGTGAACAATTATCCACAGGATATGTACAGTCCTGTGTTTGCCTTCCCACCAGCACCTTCTAATGACTCTTTACAGCTCAGCTTCCTCTTTTAACTCCTGTAAAGCTGATATATTTTCTCTCTTGTCATTCTGTAGAGCTCTTGTTCCCTTCCCTGTCTGATTATCTGCATACTTTCACCTCACCTATATCTCTGCTTCTTATCACTGCCCCCTACTTTCCTACTACTTTCAGCTTTTAATTGCTGATCTGTTGTCTATAGATACAGACCTACATATTTGTACATATTCATGTTGTTATAAATTTTCATCTAAAAGTAGTAGACGTAGGGGAAAAAGGGGATGTGGTAAACATTTGAGATGTTGGGTAACCTCATAAAGGAATATAGCTGTTATGGTGTCATGGGAGGAATGTAGGCCACCAGTGAGGTGAAGGGGGCCAGGAAGTCCAGAAGTGACTTCAAGGAGTAGGGTTATAAGGTGGGTGTTTGATGCTTACCTTTTCTTGGGGGTTGATGCTAAGCCCCAAATGTGCAATGCAAAGTGATAAAGACACAAAGTTAAGGACATGAAGGAAATTTAGAATGCTGTGAAACTAATTATTTTTAATGGAAATAGATAATGCTGTAATCTTTTTTCTTGTAATTCTATTACATCTTAATTTTCAACAATAAAAATAAAGGGAGATGTCAAATTTGTGTAGATTGTAGGTTGTTTTGGGATTAAATTGAGTGGCATCAATCAAAACAAGACATTTTGAGAGAGAGAGGAGTGGGTCATGGGGGTTGTAGAGGAAAGAGAGTATGGGGGAGTGATTGGAGGTGTGGAAGACGGGCAGGAGGGGGTGAAGAACAGAGAAATGGACAAGTACTGGGAAAAATCTGCGGGTGGAAAAGAATGGGAGCAGTGTTTCATCAAAGTGCAGATTCTCTTGCCACTGTTTTCTCTCTTAGCTCAAACTCTGCTCTTCACTCTGTACTGCCACTCGTCTACTACCCCCCACAGTTCACCTCTCCTCCATGTCTTCATACCCTTGCCACACTGTGTCCTCCCAAGGATTTCCCCTGTGCCTCCACAAGCTTTCCTTTTTCTGCTCCCCTCATTTCTGAGCACCATTTCATCTCTTGGTTCCTTACGGAGTCAATCAGGAAGCAATT